CAGAGAGCACCAAGAGCAGGAAGAGGCGCCAAGGAAAGCTAGGCAGATGCCAGGCCCTGGCCAAGCTGTCCAGGCAGCAGATTACCACTTAGATCCATCAGGGAAATTGGAGGGCTCAGCAGTGAAGTTAAGGTCAAAACCCCATTTTGACTCTCAGCTGGTGCACCCGGCTCTCGGATCTACGGCCCAGGATTAACTCCAGAGCACTTCCAACCAGTGAGATGGGGCTGTGTTTCCCAAGATTGTCCGCCCAGAATCCCTAAGACTGAGAAGTAAGAACTTCTGTCTCTAGGGAGGCACAGGGGGAATGGTCTAAAGCTATTCATGTGACCCCACATTTCTTTAAAGCCTCAGGTTTTCCTTTTCAATTGCATAGGACCTTTGCATTGAAATCCAAAACAAACTAAATGATGACACGTTTACCAGTGCTTGAGAGTCACAGCTCTCTGGCTCATATGTCCAGTTCCACGTGCTCTGGTTTGAGAAGCACAGGTCAGTTAGGGTTTCAGGGACAACACAGTGACATTGGTGGAGGCAGGGCTGACAATTCAGACCAGAAACCAGAAACCTACAGGGGGGCCTCCTGCAGGAAGGTGTCAGGCCAGGCAGGATGAGGATCACGGTTTGCAAACGGATTGGTAAATGCTGGCTCAGAGTGGTGATGAGGCATTAGGGAGGGAAAAGCTGTCTACTTTTTTGCCGCTCTGTAAACCAAATCTGATTAATTTTAGCCTATGAGTTTATCTAAACCCCCTTGAATCAACTGAAATGTTTCAAATTTCCCCTCCTAAATTAATTTCTATTCGGATACCACTTACTCATTATCAACCAAAACAAGCCAAAAAAAAAAAATTCAGCCAATGATTGTACACAACATATATTTATCCACTCCATACATATTTTACTGAATAAATAAAAACTTTATTTGTATCTTTACCTATAAACAATATCTTTAGTTTGATCACTTAAAAAGAAAATACAACCTCACGTAACCAAAATGCTTAAAGGATTTGGTTAACTAAGTGTTGATATTTTTATCTATAAATATGAAAATCTGACCTGTCAGAACTGGTTTTGCAGTAGCCATGTTTGAGATACTTGTGGATTTCCATGAAGGATGACTCTTCAAATTAAAAGATCTCATACAACACCCAGATCAGATACTAAGGGAAAAAAGGATTTGCAACCCCAAGTTAGGACTTTATATAAGAAATTCCAGTGGTGTTTACCCACTTTGAAAATTTTACTGAGTACTTTCTTTTTCAAAATCAAGTAGGATAAGTAAATAACAGCAGTACCTCAAGGGCTTTTATAAATAGCAAAGCTATACTTTCATAGCTATAAGCAAATATTTGCATTTCCCTGAGAGCACAGTTTCTTTCAGTTCAAGAGCTCTGTGTGCCTGTGTGTCTGTGTGTTTCCTGAAGCCAGTGTATGCAGAATGCAATGAAAGCTAAGAAGAGAACATTTAATCTGTTGATATTTGGGTGAGTTTAGCTCCCCATCCATTTCAGATCAGCCTTGGCAACTGGGGCCCCTTAACCTCCCCAACAGATTCCACCTCATCAGAGCCTCTGGGCCTCACTCTCTCTTGGTCCAGAATGATAAGAGACCCAGCCAAGCAGCTCAGAGGCCCCACAGCAAATGGGTCTGATGGCTGGTCCTGCTCTAACTTTGCCTAACTTCTAAGAAGTGGGCTTCCTCCTGGAACCCACTTGCCTGGAACCCCTGTTCCTTATTCTCCCCTCACACTTCTTGAAAATGGAGTCATGCTCACAAACTCCAGGGTCCCTGACATCATTTTCTAGACCTGTGTCCTTAAACCTGACTTTCTCCTCTTCCTACCTCATCCTCTTCCTCCCAGGCAGGGGTACTCTATCCACTCATGGGACCTGCTTCAAGATCCAGCCTGCTGTTCCAGGACATCCTACACACCCTGCCTGAGTCCTAGGGCCCTTTGTCTCTGGCTCATCTGGCACCAACCTGCCTCGTCCCCCTGTTGGTAGTATGGCTTATGAGAGTTAACTTCCTGCAAACTTGATTTTTGTTTGTTTGTTTGTTCATCTCAGAATGGAAGTTAGATTTTAAGAGATTCCATCCCTGGCTACTGCCTAGAGACTTAAATCCTGAAGATATAAAGTTTCCCAAAAATGACTTGAAATTCATTATGTCCCTAAAAGTTACAGACTGGCAGCTTCAAGTGCAGAACTCTGGATCTTCTTAGTAGGTGTCTCCGTCTGCCAACCCATGCCGTTACTGAGAACCCTTGTATTGAGAACCAGATTTATAACACAGAGATCCTAAATCCTGTTTCCCGGCATAGGGTTAACCTGCTGAAAATTTGGGCTCAAAATTTGCCAGTTGCTCTTATCAAAGGACCACCAGGACAAAGAGAACACTCTTTCTGAGGGGAGGCTCTCTGCATTGCCAGTGATGCTGGCATTGAACTTCCTCTTTGAAAGTTCTTTCCTGAAGTTGTCTTTGAAATACGACTGATAGCTGCATTGCCATGATGCTGGCATTGAACTTCCTCTTTGAAAGTTCTTTCCTGAAGTTGTCTTTGAAATACGACTGATAGCTCCTATAGCCCAGAAGTGGTTTCTGAAGGCGATCTCAAAGAAAAACAAATATGTAAACAATGGCCACATCACTGACCAAAGAGCACAGCTTCCCAAGGAGATCACTTGGAAGGGCAATAAAGATCTGGATGCAACCTCATAACTTCATACACGTCCCATTTTCTCTAACTTGATGAAAAGAAAAATTATAATATTGACCAAGTGGCCTGTTTACCTGTTTATCGAGTGTCTCTAGGGTGGGGATTGGTCTTGCTTTTTGGAGTCCCCAGGGCTTTGCCAAACAAAAATTTCCTGGAATGTTTGCTGAATTGAAGTAGGTTAAATGGTTTCAGTTGAGAGCTTCATAAAGGTTATCAGTGTTTGTAAGTGAGGTATGTGTTCTACGTTCCCACAAACATGTTTGTATTTTCCCATCTCACTTTTCACAGCAAGGAGCTGAACTCTAAGCCACAGAGCTTTTCAAACACCAACGTGCATTTATATTTATCCTCAATGATCTAAGCATAAATAGAAATCTCAGTTGTAATTTTCCAAGTCTTTTTATACGCTTTGAACTGTAGCTCCTTCTAACCATAACTTTTCTATGAAAGTTAAATTCACCATCAACTGTTAATAGCTTCCCAAACTGCTAAGACGTACAAGCACACAATGGCACATCTGACATGAAATAAAACTCTCTGAAGAGATTTGAAATCACATGATGAAAATAAAGGACATTAAGTAATGCAGTTACTATGTTGTTCCACTGTTGTTGCTGTCGTCTTTTTTTTTTTTGGCTGCGTTGGGTCTTCGTTGCTGCGCGCGGCCTTTTTCTCTAGTTGGGGTGAGCGGGGGCTACTCTTCATTGCAGTGCGCGGGCTTCTCATTGCCGTGGCTTCTCTTGTTGCGGAGCACGGGCTCTAGGCGCACGGACTTCAGTAGTTGTGGCGCACGGGCTTAGCTGCTCCGTGGCATGTGGGGTGTCTCTGGACCAGGGCTCGAACCCACGTCCCCTGCATTGGCAGGTGGATTCTTAACCACTGCACCACCAGGGAAGCCCCTGTTATTGCTTTTTAAGTACAGCATATGAAACAGGATCTCTTAATCTGTGTCCCCAATTTGGGGATTAGAATGAATTTCCAGTGAGCTCATATGAAAGCTCCATCTCTTAGAGTGAAGAACAGACGCTGTTCTTTGAGTCAAAACTATGCCAAGCTGATCCAAAAACCAAATAGAAGGGATTAAAAGGATCCTGAAAACGAAGGTTCCAGGAGGGTGGGGTCACAGGGACATGGACCCAAATCACTGTCTAAAAAGTAGAAAGTGTGCTGTCAAGAAGAACCAGTCAGAGGGAAGAGATATGGGAACATATGTATATGTATAACTGATTCACTCTGTTATAAAGCAGAAACTAACACACCATTGTAAAGCAATTATACCCCAAAAAAGATGTTAAAAAAAAAAAAAAAAGAAGAGCCAGTCATTCAACAGTGGCCAGCAATGTAAGGATGTTTACACTGAAGAAACAAAAGCAAAAACAACCCTCCCCGGAAAAACAAAAACGGTATTTTGAGTCTCTGCAAAAACCTTTTCTACGTTGCAATACAACTGTTGGACATTAAGAGGTTATAGGGCACTGGGCTGTGCTGAAGGTACAGTTCTGTCCAGCAATGACAGTTCCAGTCCACAATGGACCTCCTGTGATCATAAAAAACAGAGGGGAGGACAGAAGTCTTTTACATTTTTCATAGCAAACAGGTCTTCCCAGACCCATCTCCCCAGAACTGTCAGATGGAACAACCTATGAGATGCTCTTGACAAGGGGCCCAAGGTTTCCACACCAAAGATCCCAAATGGTTTAAATATAAGGGAAAGAAGAAAAGAAGCACCTTTATTTCCCTGCCTTGCTGAGTGAATCCTTTAGCAAACTTGTCAGAACAAAAATGAGCTGTTCTGTTTTTTTCATGTTCTGAGATAGACAACATGACAGAACCTACATTAACTTTGAAATTGGAAGACCTGGGTTTAGACTCCTCGTTTAGCTAACTTGTAATCTGACTGACCTGGGGCAAATCACTTAGCCTCTCTTAAACTCGGTTTTCTCACCTGTAGAATGGGAGTAATAAAATCCAGTCACCAGGTCATTTGACGGTTAAAGGAATTGGTAAACAAAAGTGCCCGGTAGCGAACCTGGCATGGGACAGGTGTGTCTTGAATGTCAAGTATTATTCTTCTTTCCTCCTGAGGTAGGTCTCACGGACAGTCCTGGCTGGTCTCAAGTCCCAAAGCTGTGACTTCCAAGAAGCCGTCATGGGGAGCTGCGGTGAGCCCCTGATGTATGCAAGGCCTGTAACTCAAGCTCCGCTAGCTGCTTTAGAGGGACCGATGCCGGGGAGAGGGAGGAGGGCTCCCCGCCTGGCTCCGCCCTCCGCGCTCCCGCAGTCAGACCGACACAGCTCCAGGCACGATCCTCCGAATGTGGGTGTACGACTTCCTGATGGTGACACTGCCGTGGTGCGACACCCCCCGGGGCAGGACGCACTCCTCCGTCAGTTTCTGGGCCTCGGGGTCCCAGCACAGCACCGTGGCGATGACCTCGTTCTTCTCGTCCCGCCCCCCAGTGATGTACAGCCGGTTGTTGCAGGGCGCGATGCCGCAGCTGGCCCTCTCGTGGCTGAGCTGGGTCACCAGGCACCAGCTGTCCTCCAGAGGGCTGTAGGCGTACAGCGCTCTCATGGCCCCTCCTGAAGAGGAAAGGAAACACCGTGGGCATCTCACTGTTTTTCTGGTTTTCTTCCCCATTAACCACTAAACTCCTTCTCCTGGTTAGGTCAAGTCTACCATCTTGCCAATAGAAAGCAAATTCATGGCTCTCCAGAAAGCCAGAATGGATAACTAGGGGCAGCAAGTCTCAGCTGGAAACACTTCATAGCCCTTTAAACTCTGCAGCCAGGTGCTAATCAGGTTCTGAAGGACACCTGTCTTCACACGGCTGCCAAAATGTACCATAAGACTGCTTCCGGGAAGAAATACCACCTGGTGCATCCTATAGGCCCGGCTCATAATCCCAGCTCTGCCACTTTTGGATCTGTAACCATGAGCACCAAGACCACGGTGGTGATAAGAAATCAGAAGGATGCACGTAAAGCACCTGGCAGAAGGCCTGGTGCATAGGAGTCTTGCATTGTATTGATATACATGGCAGTGACTAGAGGTGGTGGCATCTCTAGACTGAGCATGACCTGGGACACCAGCCCAAGTTACCCATCTTGAGATTAGTCCTTTGGGGCAGAGTCACGAGTCTGACCATAAAGACATAGGAAACCTGAAGCAAGGGAGAAAAGGGGTTTTGCCTTAATCTGTTCCCGTATTTTGCATTCAGGAAGCCTTCTCTGATTAGCTCTTATTTGCTGGAGTTATTTATTTTTGGTATTTCCTTGATCAGTAGTTCTCAATCCTGGCTGTACATTAAAATCACCTGCACATTAAAAACACCTGACACTGTGGCCAGCGTCCTCCTTCTCATTCTGATATTATTGGTCTGCACAAGCCCCAGCTACCCATATTTTTGGAAAAAGCTCCATAGATGACTCTAATGAGTAGTCAGGGTTGAGATCCATCACCCTTAACAATTACATGCCAACTGTGGTCTGGCTAATCAGGTTTTCCTTCCAGCTAAATGCAACCGTTCAGAGCCCCCAAAGCAAGTCGGAAGAATAAAATTCCCATGAACACAAAATAAGAAATAAAGATAGCTACCATTTATTGGGCACTTATACGGTGCATATTTCAATTTCTGTGCATTTCTAATGCTTACAGCACACTTTGTTCCCAAAGCAATTTCTGGCTCCTCCCCTGGGCCCCATTGTCCATCTGTCTTGTATGTCTCCTAAATGGGGGCTGTTTCTGTCTCCAGAACTGCAAGGTAAATTCCAAGGCCTGGACCAATCCCATCTTCTCTTCTTTTCAACCCTACCCACATCACCCAGGAACTCAAGAATTCCCAGGAGGGTCTCATGTGCTCTACCTGCAGGGCTGCAGGTGTAGGGGACCCTACACTTAAATAAGAAGCCATTTGCTCACTTACCAACCACATAGATACGGTCCCGGAAACTCACTGCATTGATGCATTTAGCCTCTACTGGCATGGTTGACTTTAAATTCCACTTATTGGTTGAAGGGTCGTAACACTGAGTCTTGTCCGTGGCCAGTTTCCCATTGGGCCCTCCCCCAATCACATAGAGCTTCTTCTTATGGCTGGTGGCTGCGAAGGAACTGACATGGATAAGGAGGGGTGCAGCCTGTAGAGACACAGGGCACCGGGAGAAGCTGTCAGTGACACTGCCCAGATTGCTGCAGTGGCTCACAGGACACAGGCCAGGAGCTAGGGGACACAAGCCCGGGAATCCTTTGCCTGAAGTCACAAGGCCTGTGGGCCTGACTCCCCTGAGACACAGAGGGGATCAAAGCGTACATTTCCCACCCTCCCACCAGGCTCCAGATGTTTCTAGCCTGTTTCTCCCAGAGTCCAGTTCTCAGGGCAGGAGTGGTGTACAGGAATAAGTGTTTATACAAATGAAACCAGCCAATGTTGGAGGAGAATGCTTTCTCAGACATGCATATTCATATTTATTCATGTGCTCCTTCATTCAAAAAATATTTGCTGAGTGCCTACTATGTGCCAGGCATTGTCGTTGGTGCTTATAGCTAGGAAGAAAAGCTGGTATAAGGGTTTCAGGTGGCCACAGGTAAGCATATTCTCTCACTCTGGGGCAACATACAGATCTGAGGGTTAAGCCAGACTTGTGTTTCCATCCTGTGAACCCCAGGGCACTAAAGGGGACTTTTAAGAGTCTCTTACCCATTAACATAGCCCTCTTGGGTCATGGAGCAACTTTGTGATGGGACTTAAACTGAGAAGTTCTTGGGCACTTATAAATGTTAAGGGCTCCCTATAAAGTTCTTTTCAGGTTAACAGATCTTGGCTGGATGCCATCATGACCTGTCTACCTTTGCTTGTGCCTGTGATGACCACGTTTCACACACCCCAAAGCTGGAACATGCTCTGACATATAATCTGATAAGGAGGAAGAAAATTTGAAATTGGGAATAATCTGGAAGTACAGGAAGTGAGGTCACCTTACCTCTGTGTGTGTGTTGGGCAGGGCTAAGGATACTTAACATGAGATCTACCCTCAACATATTTTAAAGTGTAAAATACAGTATTGTTATCTATAGGCACAGTGTTGTATGGCAGATCTCCAGAGCTGGTTCATCTTGCATAACGGAAACTTTATGCCCATCGATGAGCAATGCTTTGCCTTTTCTTGAGTATGATATATGCCTGAGATTGCATTGCTAAAGTCTTGTTTGAAGGCACGCAAATGGTTCATCACTAATAGGTAAATAAATAAGGGCTGACTTCTAAATACTACCAAATGACTCTGGATTCAACAAACAGTGTAGTCAAGAGATCCTGGTGTGCCCAGTGTGGAGAAGACAAGGGCAGATGGCATCGGAGGAGACAGAGACTCTAGGCCAAGACATGCAGACCGAGACAGGATCAAGCCTCCCATCTACATCTGGGGTTCTGGCCAGGATAGGACAGGTACCCACACAGAGCTCCCCCACCTGGAAGGAAATCATTTCCGTGACCTGATCGGCAATGCTGACTTGATGGCTCCTATGAGGAGGGAAGCTCAGAGCCACCAAAAATGTTCTCAGTGGGAGCAGGGAGATCAGAAAGCCGTATACCTACATTGGCAGATACCAATTTTTTTTTTTTTAAGCTTTGAAGCAATAATACAGAGTTACTCATAGAAATAATCTATACCTCTGACCAGCAGTTGTGGAAGGGGTCATAGGTCTCCACGTTGTTGATCCTCTGCAAGCCATCGAAACCTCCGATCACATAGACCTTGCCCCCAAGCACCACCATCTTATGCCTCCAGCGGCCTATGTTCAAATACTCAATTTGAATCCACTTATTGATTGAAGAATTATATTTCCAAACATCGTGCTGTGTTTCTTTGCCACCTAGGAGACATATAGAGCATTTAAGAAACCACTGATATGTCAGAAATGCAGCTTCTCCCATAATTCCCCACCGGCCCAGAAGTGTTAAATCCCCAGACCAGCACCAACCCCCGCCCCATCCCCCCAGACAAAAGAAATCATGAAGGTGCATGCAGTGTGGTTGCTGGGACAGAGCCTGACACAGGGAGACAGGAAGACACAGTGTAAGGCTGGGGTGGATCATGCACTGGGCTGTGCCATGTGTCACCTCTGTGCTGTGAGAATTCAGAGAAGAGGAGGCTCCGTGAGCTAGGTCCAGAGAAGGCTTCAGGGGAGTAGTACCCAAGTCTGCCTAGGCGAGTGGGGACCAACAGGAGCCTGGACTCCAGTGTTTGTGAGGCTCAGGGGCAGGAGGTCAGGCAGGACAGGTAAAGTTGGACGATTGCAGGTGGGGATAGTAGGGCTTTGACCAGCGGGCAAATGAGAAACCAGCTTAAGTTCTATGTTTGCTTATTGATTCAAACAAATGCAAACTTGGGAAAATCACCACGAAATCTTACAAAATTCTCTTGGTTCATGACTCTGATCTATATAAAAACATAAGTGAGGTTTGTTCTACTTTGAAACAATTTCTATTGGAACAGAATGAGATGCTCACACCAGATCATTTGAGAGTGAGCTGGTAAAAAATTTTTTCAAGACAACTCAATAAATAGAAAATATGTAATTCAGTTAGGGAGAGAGACCAAGACAAAGGAGAGCTGACTTTTCTGGTGACTTTAATAAAATATTTTAATGACTGTGTTTCCATTTCCCCATCAGCACTGAGTAATACCAGCTACCTAAAACAAAGGATGTACCTTTCAGACTAAGATGTGCACTAGTGTGGAAATGAATATCATTAATGACGCTCTGTGTCACGGGTGAGTGTTTCTCAAGGGTGGAGCCCAGAAGTGGGATTCCTAGGTCAACGGCGTGCCCACCTTGAATTTTTACAGGTGCTACCAAAGAACCTTCCAAAGCTGTCCTGGTTGACTTTTCCCCATACCCCACCCACAGCGGATATTAGGAAGGTTTTTTTGGTTGGTTTGTTTTGTTTTACAGCCTGAGAGAGAAAAATGATGTCATAGTTTGGTTTCCCCTGGCTGCTAGGGAGACTGAGCTTCATCCTCTCCTGTTATCTTTTTGTTCATATAGTTTAACCATTCTGGGGGAGGGGTGTTGTATACCTCTTAGAGGTCTCTATTCAAAACACTGTGATATTGATCCCATTCAGGTAGTGTCCAAAATTATAAAATAACTATACACTTTGAAAGAAATGTATGCAAACTTTATTAAAAAGGGGAAAAAATGACAATTTTTTAACTTCAGGATGTAAAAGAAGACCTGATTAACTGGGCAGGCATATCATGTGCACAGCTGATAAGACAGGTTATTACAAAGATGTCAACCCTCCCCAAGCTAACCTATATATTAGGTGCCTTCAGGGCTTTTCATGGATTTCAGGACATGAAGTCACCATTCTAAGCTTCATTTGGAAGAGTAGATTTGGGAACATTTCTAAGAAACTTTTGAAAAAGAAGAAGGAATGAGAGAGCTCCCCCTAGCAAATATCAAAATATACTAAAAAGCTGTGGTACTAAAAATAATGTGCTACTAGTATAATACAAACTGATCAATTAAAAACAAGGTACAGAAACAGACTAAAAGATATAGAGATTATTAAATAAATGGCATTAGAACAATTGGCTATCTGTTTAGAGAAAAATTTAGATCCCTATTTCACATTATACTTAAAATTTAAATGTAAATGCTATAGAAGTAACTGGAGAATATATAGGAGAAGATGTTAATGATCTTGGGGTGGGGAGGGGCTTTCTAAGCATGACAAGAAACCTAGAACATATAGAAAAGAAAGTTACTATATAAAATATAAGTCAAAGTTAAAAGACAACCCCACTGTCTGGGAGAAAGTATTTGTAATACAAATAGCAAAGGATATATAATAAGAACTCCAAAAAATTAATAAGGAAAAGACAACCAATAGAAAAACAAAGGGTAGGAACAGATCATTTTTTAAAAAAAAGATACGTTTAGCTAATAAATATATGAAAATATATTCAACCTCATTAACGATCTAAGAGTGTAAATTTACACACTCAAGTCTATTAAAAATGTAATTGATAATAAAAAATGTTAATAAGGATGTACAAAATGGGCACTGACATTCATCATTGGTTGAACTGTAAATTGGTACAAACTTTCTGGAGGACAATTTAGCAATATCTACAAAAATTCTAAATTTACACATCTTATGACCACTTCCAGGAATCTCTCCATATATCAGCGCAAGTTCATAAATATATGTGTATGAAAATGCCTATTGCTGTATTTTTTTCAGTGGGAAAATAAAAGCTGAAAAATATTATGGTTCATTCATTCAACAGACAGCCCTGAAGCTGGTGAAATGAGCCGTAATAACAATCCTCGCAGTAATGATAATGATGACTAACACTGCTGCGCTCTCACCACGTGCTTGGGATTGTGCTGTACTTTACATGTATTACATTGCTTAACACATATAGTAGATCAATTATACCAACATGTAATGATGTTCGGAACAGACTGTTAGTTGAGTACACATTTCTGTTGATTTAGTACAACAAGCATGCTTTCATGTATTGCCTGTATCATTTTTATTTTTTTAACATTTTTATTGGAGTATAATTGCTTTACAATGGTGTGTTAGTTTCTGCTCTATAACAAAGTGAATCAGTTATACATATACATATATCCCCTATCTCTTCCCTCTTGCGTCTCCCTCCCTCCCACCCTCCCTATCCCACCCCTCTAGGTGGTCACAAAGCACCGGGCTGATCTCCCTGTGCTATGCGGCTGCTTCCCACTAGCTAGCTATTTTACGTTTGGTAGTGTATATATGTCCATGCCACTCTCTCACTTCATCCCAGCTTACCCTTCCCCCTCCCCGTGTCCTCAAGTCCATTCTCTAGTAGGTCTGTCTTTATTCCCGTCTTGCCCCTAGGTTCTTTGTGACCATTTTTTTTTTCTTTTTCTTTTTTTTTTTAGATTCCATATATATGTGTTAGCAGCCTGTATCATTTTTAAAAAGACAACAACAAATTGAAGACGGACAAAAGACAAGTTGTAGAATAAAACACTATGTATAGTGTATGTGGCAAAGACTGACCATGATTACCAAACCTGTCTTTTCCTCCTGGGCACACGGCTAAACTACATTTCCCAGCCCCACTGCATGGGGGGCGGGGGTGCAGGGAGGGCATGCGGCTGGTTCTTGCCAATAGAATGTGAGCAGAACTGATGCCTCATGTCCAGGCCGAGGCTGTTGTGAGCAGGTGTGTCTTTTCAACTTGTTGGGTTTCTCTCTCTTCCCGAGATGCATCAAGCTTGAAGGTCACGTCTGGAAACAGCCTCATCATGAGACGGAAGGAGCCTAGGTCCCTGAATGACTGAGTGGAGCAGGTGCTCTCCCCCAACCCACACATACTTCTGTGGTGATTCACTGAGATTCAGGGTTTGTTACAGCAGCTGGCATTACTTACTCTAAGACAGTATAAAGCCATTTTTGTAAAAAAAAAAAAATTAAAACATGTAGGATTGTAATGGCACAGAGAAACTGCCATATTTTACTTTGCACTCCCTGTATTGCTTAAATCTTCTATAACAATTAAAAAATGTTTCTGTAAGATAAAAGAAAGCTAAACCCTAGTCTGTGGTATTAATAGACTCAAAGAAGAACTGACCTGCCCTTTATCTTGGAGGAGACCAGCTCTGGGAATAAGCTCTTTCCAAAACAAGTTCAGATTAAAGAAAACCTCCAAGAGAAGGGAAGGGAGGATATTTGTCTTTTCCCTTGGTGCTGCAAGAAGAGCTAGGTGGCTTTTAAAGTCATGGGAGAGCATGAGACTCAGAGAACATGGATTGGAATCCTGCCTGACACTTACCAGTGTGTGACTTTAGGTAAATTCCATACCTTTCTGAGCCTCGGTTTTCTCCATTTGTAATCTGGAGATTAAAATCACCTACCTTAGAGAGTTGATGTGAGAGGCAATAATTAATTGCTACCAAAGAGTAAATTCATCTACTATGCTGTAAAGAGATTACATCATTTAATAAATACTTATTAAGCATTTACTATGGCCAGACACAGCGCTAGGTATTGGGAATATAGTGTTGATTCATGGAATTTAAGGGCTAATGGGAAACAGGCATAGAGCAGTTATAAACAATTAAGCAAACAACTTAGAAGTAAGAAATGAAAAAGTACTGGATGCTATTGGAGCATCTAAAAGTAAGACCTAATCAACTTGAGGGGAGAGGTCAGATTTGGGGGGAAGAGCAGACATTTTTATTCATTACTGTATTTCCAGTGGCTATAGCTCAGTGTCCTATGCCTACAGCAGACACCGAATAAACTCTGGTACCACTTTCTTTCTTCCTTTTCCATGAAGGAAGTCCTATCTGCCTGCTCCCCCAGTTCCTACTACAATACTGCTCAAGGATTAGGGTTCACTCAGTAATTATTCCCTCTCCACGATAAGACCATCTGAGTGCCTGGTTTCCATATCCTGACCCAGTTAGTGCTAGATCACTGCCATCCACAGTAATTCTTCTGGGATGGTTGCCTGTCTCTCACTCAGGAAAACATGAAGTGCCTTGGGGGCTGGCTTTGGCATCACGTGGCTTCTGCTTACCTGAGATGTAGACCTCGTTTTTTAATGTCACGCATGCAAACTCCACCCACTTCTTATTCTCACTGTCCAGCTCGTGCTCTGTCATGGGGAGCTTGGCCACCTCCAGGCGGCTGCGCCTCAGGGGATCCAGGCAGGTTACCTCCGCCACAAACCGTTCATCCTTCGTGCAGCCACCGATGATCATGAACACCTCAGACTGGAACTCATGCATCCTGGGCTTGGTGCGCTCCGAAATGATCTGGAAAATCAATGGGGGTACAAAAAGGCAGAATGGCACAGTGGTTCAGAGCTCAGGCTATGGAGCCAGAGGAGCAGAGCCCAATTCCCAACTCTGCCACCGTAGGACCATGTGACTTCACCTCCTTGGGCCTCAGGTTTTTCTTCTGTATAATGGAAATTTTAGTGGTAACAACCTCATAGGTTTGTCATGAGGATTAAATGAGATAATATATTCAGTGTGCTTGGCCCAGGGCCTGACGTATAGTAGGTACTCAATAAAGGTTATCGGTTGTAGATCTTGCTACTTTTTAAGAAGTTCAGGTCTGTCTACCATCAAATGCACTTTCCTGCCTCTTCCCTCTTGCTTGGTCAGAAGCACTGAATCCTGGAATTTCATTTCTGGCCACCTTCCACTCCCCCCTGGTTTCAGTTTCTTGATGATATCCCAGACTTTGCTCGCTACCAGGCCTTTTCTGGAAGAGAAGTCCTGAGGGCACATAAAAGCATCCAGAGATTTAGGAGAAAAGAACCAAAAGGGAGCAAGGGTGTGTCTAAGGAGGTTGGGGGACTGGGTCCCAACATCAAGCATATGACCCTTCAGAGCCTTGAACAAGCAAAGAAATCCATACCACAGATATTTGAACCCAGCTGTAAGAGCAGAGGTTTGGAGTCAAATACACCAGAGTTCCATCCTGGTTCCACCACCGATGGCCATGTGACCTTGGAGAAGCAACACAGTCTCTGTAAATGCCTGTGATCATTCCTATGCTACCATGCCATTGTGAGCATTCATGAGGTTGTGATGTAGAGAGCTGAGCAGAGCACCTGGCACATGCATGGCCCTCCATAGCTAGTCACGGCAGTAGGAGTGGTGGGAGATATCATATTGATGTAATTAATGAAAAGGGAGAGCTGCCCTCCTCCTGGTTCCAGCCATCCCTGGGCTTGATGGGGAAGGTTCTACAGGGGTACTGATGGGAGACAGAGAGGCAGCAGCACCTATTTCCCACATGGCCAAAGCAGCTACTCTTTCCTACAGGGTTAAGCTGACCTAATATGGATTATGGAACTTCAATCTTGCCCACAGATGGTGACAGTTTACCTGAGTCCACAAGTGGTGAATCCAATCAATAGTCACATGTAATCAGATCAGCCAACACCCAACCTCTACTTTCCCAGAAGAGACTTTGTTTTTTCTGTGCCAATAGTCAGATACAGTAAATTCTGCATCCTCAGTTATCGAGGCCAGACCATGGCCATAAAGTATGTGGCAGGGCTCTCCTTTATGGGTCAGCAGAAAGGAGTGGAGGTGTGTGGCAGTTTAAATCCTGGGCAATGGGCTGAAACTGAGGGCACTGACAGTGGAAAGGCCAGCTGGGATAAGGGTGGAAGGGGTGGTCCCGAGAACTTGGAGGCACTATGAGAATACCAAGCTGGTAGGAGAGGAATGAGCAATGAGTTGGCACCAAAGACAAACTTGGCCAATCTGAGATTTCTCCCTCCAGCCTCTAAACCTTCCTTCCCACAGCTGAGGGATAACCTCTAGCACCAATCTGGTCCTCTTGCAGGGAGGATTTAGGGATTATAGGGCAATGCTTAGAGGACAGCACTAGCTTCTCAGAACTGGTTCCCTGTGACCCTTACTCTGGTTCTGAGAGCCAAGCCTCAGCCTCCTCTCTGAAGACCCCCATCTTATTCACAGTGCCTGCTCTCCTGCATCAACAGCCTGCTGACTAGCAGGGGACCAAACCAGCCATGATCTTACTCCTGACTCCCAGGGCTGGCATCCCGGTCCTGAGTCCTGGCCTGTGGAAGACTCTGCTCCC